AAGTGGCGTCGGAAGAGGAGAAACGGGGGGAAAGAGGGTAGTCGGGGAAGAGGGGGGTCTTTAGCCTCCTTCTCCCCCTTGCAGGTATTTCGGACTGTTAAAGGAAACAATACGGGGAAAGAGGGCGTGGTCGAGCATATTTTAATCTGAAATTATTTATGCATATGTATAGCTACTGTCGCTCTTCACTGCATAAAAGGTTGCGTAGATGGTCATTGTTAGAAACTCGTTGTCAGAAGGCACTGCTCGTCACATGCTTAGTGGTTCGGAAGTTCAAAGCTGTCTTTTCGACCTAAACACCTGTGCCGATAGTAACAAAAAAAAAAAAAAAAAAAAAAAAAAGAATAAACGCGGAAATAAAAAGCAGGAGAAAAAAAAAAAAAAAAGAAACTATCAAGAATTCGTCGGAAGTGTTCTATTCTTGCATATTCAGAGGTTCAGAACTTCGAAACAAGTTTCTTTTACCAAAATGTGTACAGGCTAAAAGAAACACGTCCCAGGAACGTAAAGCGAAAAAAAAAAAGTTTTTTTTAATGACGCGTTGAACTTGAACACTATTAGAAATCTTCTCCCATGAGTTAATTTATTCCTTAACGTGAAAAAAACAATAAATATATTATTTTGTATTCTGCAGTGTGCAATGATATGTACTGTCTGTGGTGTTAATTTAAATGCGATACCTCAAACAACTTAGACGAAAATAAATATCAAGTTTAGGTCATAATTGCTTGCAGATACATGTTTGGACATTTCTTCGAAACTCACGTTGAATAACAATAATCACATATTAAGACGGCACTTACCTAGGCTATACATAGATCATTCTTAAAAAATATATAACATATCTACCATAAATAGCTCCGGCTGCAGCGTGCTTCAAATCTGGCACAAACGATAATCGTCAAAAACCCGTCGTCGTTCCTCGCCCCTTCGGGGATTTATTTCTTTAAACCTAAGCATGCCAGAACATTGAAATAAACGACATTGTCTTACGTAAGGAACGCAGCACCGCGTGTAAAAGTTCGAGAAAAAAAAATTACGAGTGTACCCCACTACTTGAAATCAAATGAAACCGTCCGCCGGTCTTTCGAAGTTCGACGAACGTCGAACTTTTACCCTAAAAGTTCGAAGTTCGTCGAACTTCTGACTTTTCAGAATTCGAAAGTTCGAAACTTTTCGAATTCTCTTGATAAATAAAAGCCGTTGTGCGTTGACTCTGCGACGAGCTTCGTTCGGCGCCCGGACTTCGAGGCGGCGGACAATCGCGTCTACCATGACCGTGGAACAACAAGTTCTCTGCGCGCTCCGGTTCTTCGGAACGGGTAGCTTTCAACTTTCAAGGCATGGTGGCGACTGACGAGCACCTGTTAGTCTCCCACATGACTGTGAGCCGGGCTTTGCGGCTGCCATCGTTTTTTTTTTTTTTTTTGTTTTGTTTTCTGTAATATCCGAAGAGGTATTAATAAGCTGGTATACAATTCAAAATGTTGGGAAACAAACAAGAACCGGGGTAATTCTTGGGTAGGGTCGAGTCTCCCAGCAGCCGGCAGAATTATTTCCCCGAAATTATACTGGCAGTCGTCAATCATTGGCCATCAAATCTGTTCATAGAACGACGTGTCATCGACAGATAGCTTTATCGGCACGCGATGTAATCACATGAAAGAGATTTTCTTCCGTTAGAGGTATATACACATTAAACATTTGCACACACATTAAACATTTGCACACCTTTATACATATAAGTGGGGTGTCCCATAACTAACACCCCAATAAATGTAGCGATGGACCTTATAAAAAAAATGTAAACCTCACGCCTTTAAAAATCTGTGATATTTTAAACATGTTTCTTAAAACGTGTGATAATGCACTACACCTTTTTATAAAGATGTAAAACTACAATACCCCTTCTCGTCAGGCACGTAGCCAGGGGGGGGGGGGGGGGCATAAGGCCCAGACCAACCTCCCCCCTCCCCGAAATCTTCCATTTTGCTGGGACCTCCCCTCCTACCTCCCCCTCATAAAGCACTTTCTCATGGGCGCCCCCCCCCCCCCCCCTTTAATCAAAATTCTGGCTACGTGCCTGCTTCTCGTCAAGGTGTAATTACCACAGTACATTTCTTTTTTGGGGTGTACACAGTGGCCCGGGACCCAATAATATGACTGAACAAATAAATTACACAAACGAGTCGCCGAAACAGCACGTTGCTTCTTGGCGAGTGTCGAGGCAATTTCGGCCGAAAACCGGCTTTCCATATTGGCCGGATGTACGGTTTTGCCCCTCGTCCCGACATCCGGCAGGTATGGGGGTACCGAAGCAAATAAACGATTTATGTCTAATAGCACTGGCATCACTGAATTCTTAGGAGGCTGGATCGCGGATAGAGGCCTGTATTGATGGGGTCGAGCGGCACTCCAGGATATCCAGGATATCGAAAAAATAAGACATTCTTTTTTTCTTTGGGGCTAATTTGAAGGAGGAACTATTTTCTGCGGTTGCGGTCGTCACGAACGTTTACAATTAGGGTCGATACGTCCTTATCAGTGTTCCAATTTCTTTTTTTTACTAACTGTCGCTAAACCCAGTTTGCACGCTTAATCACGATCAGAATGTGTCGTTAGACTACTGTTGTCCTTATTGATTTGTGTTCCCTACACCGCGGCTTCGACTTATTATGAATAGATCTATCCTTTTTGTCAACCATAAGAGCGTTGAATCTTTTACTATTAATTACACTAAACCCAGTCCTAAAATTTCTCCACCAGATAACCCTAGTTATATTGTCCTTGTAATTTGTTATCAATTTATTCGTGTGCGGACCGCTTCGTGACACACCTTTAATATGCCTGCTTTAAGTGCGCTTGAAACTGGGTTTTAAGGGCTTTCAGAACAAACTCATGAAATAATCGAGAAATCGGCTCGCAATCTCCACTCTGCGCGTGCCCAAGAGCGTGCACTGGTTCGCCGAGTTTCTAAAAAAGTTAAATCGGAGAGCCTTTTGGCAGCATTCCCAAGAAGGGGTATACTGTAATTTAATGCATTATACCCCATTTTCTTGGGAGTACCTATAAATACTTCCAATGAGTGTATCCCTTCAAATGGAGGAAAAAAATTTCGACACGCGGTTACTTCTTTGTTTAAACCAGCGTTTTATTACACCAAAGTTTATTGCTGAGCCCTCATGGTCGTGCAAAAAATTACTAAATAGTTTGCGAAAAAAAAGAGAAAATAAAAAGAGCACAGTCAATAAAACCAGTTTTCAAAATAATAAACATAAGGAACAAATCTTACAAACTAATAACACACAAAGAAATGACTTTCTTAACATTGCTGCTATTGAAAGAACTTAGTTATTTTATAAGTTCGTATACTTATGGTCATGAGTAGGCCGACTTGTAAGGTACAGTGCTAATCACACTTGTGATTGCGCAGGACACCCCTCGAGCGGGCCGTTCCATGTTGCGCCACGTGACTAGCTTAGTTTCCGCGAATGCCACCAGCCCAGCGCTCCCCGGAGAAAGCCGCTCGCTCGCGCGTTATAAACAAGTGTGATTAGCACTGTACATAAGTGACCTTAAGCGCTATCCAAACCAACGCTTCTTTTTGCGCCTGTAGGTCGTGCGGCTGCGGATGTGACGCATTTCGTGGCGTTCTTGCTGTTTCCGGGCGCGCTTTCTGAGTTAGAACCGTGCGCTTTGGTTTGGACGGGCGAAACTTCGGGCGAGCGCGCACGCGCGCACGCAGGCACGAGCGCACAAGCAAAGTGCAACTGTGACAGACTGGCCGGCCAGACGGCGAGAGAAAGAGAGAGAGAGAGATCGTGTTGTCATGTTGGAAGAGAATAAAAGGGGGGGAGGAGAGGGCAGCCAGACGGCGAGAAGCGCGGAGCCGGAACTAGCTTGCCCTCCACCGATTGGCCGGGACACAGGAGCGTCCTACTACGTCACCGCGCGTTTTTGTGCGCGTTGAGAAAGAAGTTGAAATCAACCAACTTTCTTGTGCGCGCCCGGAAGGAGCGAAGAAGCGGCGCGACGTCACGAAAATACGTCACATCCGCAGCCGCACGACCTACAGGCGCAAAAAGAAGCGTTGGTTTGGATCGCGCTTTACAGACAACACAGAAACTTCAGGTGCATCACGTGATTAATGACTCTAAATGAATAAAAAAAGATAAGGCTTCAAATATTTTCTTTTTTTTGTGTACAAAAAAGTGAAAGCCGTTTACAACTCCCTGTAATGCCGAATTGGAGGGCAGCTCTTGAGGAGGAGGTGGGAAGGGTACTGAGGGCCGCGTGTTCTCGAAGGGGGGGGGGGAGGTCACGTGATCCCCCCCCGAGGTCACGTAACCTCGGGGTGTCACGTGACTCCCCAGGTCACGTGACCCCCCCCCCCCGGTCACGTGACCAAAATTTCCCTGCTATATTTAGCGGGGAAATTTTTCCGCTAGATTCAGCGGGGAAATTTTTCCGCTAAATTTAGCGGGGAAATTTCTTCCGCTAGATTTAGCCGGTAAATTTTTTTCCGCTAGATTTAGCGGTGAAATTTTTTCCGCTAGATTTAGCGGGGAAATTTTTTCCGCTAGATTTAGCGGGGAAAGCGGGAAATTTTTCCGCTGAATTTAGCGGGGAAATTGTTCCGCTAGATTTAGCGGGGAAATTTTTCCGCTAGATTTAGCGGGGAAAATTTTCCGTTAAATTTAGCGGTGAAATTTTTCCGCTAGATTTAGCGGAGAAATTTTCCCGCTAGATTTAGCGGGGAAATTTACCCATAATGCACCGCGCGGTTACGCCGACGGCGACGCCGCTCAAGCCGGAAACGGGCGCCTAAGAGCTGCGCTCTAAAAAGACCTCTGGTCGCTTCGTCTAAGGGAAATTCACATTTTTTATCTGTGTTTGCGCTATAAATAACAGGCTGAAACATTTTGAACTATGCAAAAGACACACTGCTCGCAAGTAGAACCGCTGCAGGTCTATCGCCACAACTATGATCCCTTCCACAACTATGATGCACGTTGCTGTTTCGATAACTTGCGATGTAACTTCCGATGAGTGTGTAAATTGCTATAAGCCGCAAACGCTCTACCGCAGGTCTCGCACTTGAACGGCTTCTCTCCTGTGTGAGTCCTTTCATGAACCGCCAAACCACCTTTCAGAGTAAACGTCCTGCTGCACGTGTTGCACTTGAACGGCTTCTCTCCGGTGTGAGTCCTCTCATGATTCGCCAAGCGAGTTTTCTGAGTGAACGCCCTGCTGCACGTGTTGCACCTGTACGGCTTCTCTCCGGTGTGAGCCCTCACATGCATCGTCAAATCGCATTTCTGAGTAAACGCCCTGCTGCACGTGTTGCACTTGAACGGCTTCTCTCCGGTGTGAGTCCTTTCATGATTCGCCAAATGGGTTTTCTGAGTGAACGCCCTGCTGCACGTGTTGCACCTGTACGGCTTCTCTCCGGTGTGAATCTTCTCATGAACCACCAAGTTGCATTTCTCAGTAAACGCTCTGCTACACGTGTTGCACTTGAACGGCTTCTCTCCCGTGTGAGTCCTCTTATGACTCGCCAAATGGGTTTTCTGAGTGAACGCCCTGCAGCACGTGTTGCACTTGAACGGCTTCTCTCCGATGTGAATCTTCTCATGAACCGCCAAGTTGTGTTTCTGAGCAAAGGCCCTGCTGCACGTGTTGCACTTGAACGGCTTCTCTCCGGTGTGAGTTCGAACGTGAGCCTTCAAGGTAGCCTTATGCGGGAACGTTTTCTCGCAAACATCGCAACTGAAGGGCCTCTCTCCAGTGTGAGTCCTCTCGTGGATGGCGATACCGGCTGCAGAAGGACATGAGTAAGGACAGAAGCGGCACTGGTGCTTGTCCGGGTTTCGGTGCGTTTGCTGCTTTTGTGGGTTGGTGGGGGGAGAGGTGTCACCCCTGCGGCTGTCCTGGTCGAAGGTCTCCACTTTGTCGCCAGAGTATGCTTCGATCAGGTCTGTTGGGATGACAGGACAAAGCAAGAAATGTCGGCGCTGTTTTTGTTGTTCTGAACATGGGAATTTTGAGTACCTAGATGAACATGGTCCAGAATACCTACATCATGCCGGTGCAGCCTAGAGTAGGTATTCATTCATTTGAGATGTTAAAAAGGTTCAATCGTAATGCTTGTAAAGGTCTATAGGCAATCGTTTAAGATTCCACTCTGGCAGCCCCATGCTGCGGCAGCTGTGGTGGCTTGCGCGTTCTCCTAACCAAGTGCGGAAGGAAAGTCAAGCCGCCGCGGCTGCTACTGCACAGTGTTGGCGGTAACGTGTTACAAGTAACGTCGTTACCGGTAGCGCCTTTTTTCTTTCAGTAACGTAGTGACGTATTCATTAGTTTTCTAAATCTACAAATTTTCTAAATTTTTCCAATCTTTTCCCCACGAAAAAAATTCCGCTTTAGAAAAACCCCAATCAGCGCCTGTCATGTTAAAGTCGAAACACGCTGTCGCCAAAAGAAAACAAAAGTGCTGTTACCGTCAATTTAGAAATAAAAAGTAACGCAAAAGTAACGTGCGTTACGTTCTGTCCGCGACAGTATCGCGTTCCTTTATTTCGCAAGTAACGTAGTTCTTTACTTTTTTACGGTAACGGCTACAACACTGCTGCTGCTTACCGCTGCCAGTACGAAGCGCCGGGTGATAGCGTGTTCACATTCATAATGATCGCGACTGTGTTTTAAGTGACGCTGGAAGGGTCATTCACACCCACAGATTATTAGGTTACACAAAATAGCATTCAATAAGCTCGTGGAACAGGGATGGGCAAAATACATGCAAATATGTATCGAAATACAAATACAAAATACTTCGTCAAAAATTTATTTAATTTCAATTCTAATTACATTTCCAAAAAAGCATTTAAGTACAAGATACAAATACAGTCAAATGTATTTGGTCTCCTCCAAATACTTTTTCAAATACATTCCTCAAAATTTGCGTCAGCGACTTCAGGGCACCTGCAACGGGTTTCTGGTTATCTCATTTTAATTTTGCATCGCACAGTCGGGAGTTAGTGTGCGAAGCTCTAGTAACGTAATAGAAATATAATCACAAAAAATGTAATCAGCTTGGACGTAATAGGTTAAAAAAGTACAGAGCTTCAAGCAGAATTTTTTGTCGATTACATTTTGGTATAGACCAACAAAGAACAGAGACGACCAAGATGCGCAGCACTAGCTAGAGAATTTTTTATTGCTGCAACTCGCACCAGTTACGAAAATCTGGACGACCCGCGCATTTAGAATGTTCCAGGAAAAAATATGGATGGAAATCAGGCTGGAAAGCATCACACGTTGTCACGGGCACTTATTTAGCCAGTCTGCCTGTGAACGTCGATTTCGTCACTATTCTTGCCCTGGACTAGCACCGTAATCGCAAAGTCACTAAACGCTTATGCTTGATTGAGAAACACTGCATTCGGCGCAGAACGTAGTTTTCTTCCTGCTCTGGACAGTGACAATAAATTTGAGGGATGTATTTTCGCTCGCAAAATTGTATTTAATTACAATTGTATTTGAAATACCCACGTTTTAATATTTAAATACACACTTCAAATACATTACCCAATTTGTAATTAAATACAAATGCAAAATACACAAAGTATTCAAAATATGTGTTTCAAATACTTGTATTTGAAATACTGCCCCTCCCTGTCGTGGAATAATCGTGTGCACCTTAGAAACTTGAAAAATCGCTATGGTACACAGTAATTATTTTACGAGTGATTTGAAACAGCAAAAAACGCGGTTCTATATTGACAATGATGTGGACATTTGCCAGCCTAGAGCTAAACTTCTAAAGCAGGGTGGCCCGGCTGACCCGGCCTGACAGCCGCAAACGAAACCCCCAAACTTCCAAGAGCCGCAGGGGGGGGGGGGGGGGGGGCAGGCAAACTTTTGTCCAGTGCAGTAAACGAAACTCGAGCTACTTTCAATCTATCCGAGTCAAAAGCAGTCCGACTGTACGTAAGGTAGCAGTAGCACAAGGCTACCAAACTGCAACCTGTCTTTCGATTTAAAACGCGGTCCATTTCACTTTTTATGGGGGGGGGGGGGGGGTGGGGGGGGGGGGGGGGGTGGAGCCGCGAGCCGCACTTTAACACGCGAAGAGCCGCAGCTTGGCCGCCCCTGTTCTAAAGCTTCAATCATTTGGAACAGCCAAACATATTTTGGGCTATTTCATGCGTCGAAAATTATTTATAGCATTTCTGAAAGCTACTCCATCAACCGGAACTGAAGGAAAAAATACAATTTTGTAATATAAATAAACAACTCGGCATGGTACATTTCTCTGATATCAAATACTATGTATGCGGTATATTTTTTCGGTTTGGTGCAGACCGCTAATTAAAACTTAATGAAGTTTCCACGTGGAGAAAACTTTGTGTACCACATCAGACTCCTTACGTTTTCCACCTTCTAAAAAACCGAGCCTACAAAAAGGTTTTCTATCCGTGTGGGACCGTTCATGAATCTGTGAGGGTGTGCTAAGAGGGTACGAGGCTGTATGACTGTTTTCCCGTGTGCTTCTTCTCCTACCTGGTGTTGTTAGTTCCGTGGGCACCATAAGATTGGCGGCAGAGGTTGCACCGCCGTCCGTCCTCCCCTCCTGGTCCATCTTCAATGGTTGCCTCTGCAATTCGGCTCCTTGGAAGGAGAGCTCCGCCCCCTTGTCCTCGTAGTCCGTTCTCTGCCATTCGGAGTCGAATGCTGCGTGGGCAAGTTCTGTTAGGAGTGAAGATCAAATTTTGTTTTGTTCATTTTTTTATACTATACCAATACAGAAGCTCAATCACAACGAAACTTAAGGAACAAGCAAACATAAACACTTCATGCTGATGAAGTAGAGAAATTCAGGGGTTTACATTGATATGGCGGTGTAATTCAAAAAGTAAAATAATAATATCACGATCAAACACCCCCACCATAACTTGATACTGAATACACCGAAAACGTCGACTGTAAAAATGCACGTCAATCAAACATAAAAGTGATCCTTCTCTATTAATACGTGCTTCGAAGGTTTTACTTCACCTTTAAACATACGGTAAAAGATTACTTCGATACAGATCTACATAAATCATGAAAGACACAACTGGGTACGATCAAAGAGCGTGGTTTAGTTACATCGCTCCTGCTCTGTAGTGCTGAAAAAAGGCAGGCATGCCACAAAACCAACAACTGCACGGTATATCGCCGCCACAGGTTTTGAGAATTACACGTGAACAAAATGGACATGGTGTGTCGGCGAACGAAGGTAGGGACGGGAATGGAAATGTTGCATGTAGTTGGCTGAGCTGTGGCCATTCCCTATTTGATCCGACTAGTAGGTCCCATTTATCTGGGGAAAAACGTAGCCCAAGGTTCTGGCACTGCCATAGGTTGGTCTGGCTGGTGGCTGGCACTCTTTCCCAGGCAGCGAAGGATCGCTCACGCTTGCTTTAAGAGGATTTCCGGATAGTTCGGCCTGCAAAGTTTAGAAGGATGAGGGTTAATAAATAGTCGCCAACACAAAGTTACTTTACCTGCCCTCAAATATCATCACATTGGAGGAGTGCAACTACAACTGAAGGATACCAGTGCCTGGAATTGGTCCAGTTGGTTATTCATTACTTGATTAAACTGCAAAGTAAATGATTATGAATTACGATGCAGAGACGAGAAAAAAGAAGGCAACAAATGGGAAAACGCGCATTTCCAGTTCAGTTTAATCAAGTAAAAAACTGAAGGCCAGTTTCGAGATTAAACAGGGCATGGATAATAACACCATTTGTCAGTAGGAGGGTATCTGCGAGAAATTTCAATCTGAAGGACGCGAAAAAAATAAGTCCCATGTGACTACACCATTTCCAGTGTGAATGTTTTGGCCGAATGACACTGACCATTTCTATTTCCACGAGAGATGTTTTATTATATATGCAGTGTCAAACCGCTAGCAAGGAGGAAAATGTTTGCCGGTTCCGTCTGTGCCGTATACACGCGACTAATGCCACCATTTATAAAATTATATGCAGTGTAGATCAATCATTCAGGCTCGCATTTTGTCAACAACTAACATAAGCGGGGCCCACTTAGGGAGAACGAGTTTTACCCGAGATACTTGGTTCACGTTTCACGAGCTCCCCATAGAACCCCATTGGGAAAAAGCCTTTTAGATCATTCAGAAGTTGAATATAAAACGATATAATTTGGTTAAGGGATCTTCATTATAAATAATCACCATTCAACGCGAGTACAAAAGTTTACAGTCCTTATTGCAACGCAAATGTTTGTTTTCTCCTTTTTATTTCTTCCAACTCAAGACAAGCTCGAGTGGCTTTCTCCTCTTGATCTTAAGAGAAGGTGAAACGCTTCTTCCGAAAAATGACATAGAGGTTGATTTCTGCGTTGTTTGATCCCGTAATTCTGAAGATTTGGTTCGTTTTCTCCGAAGATGTAACTAAACCCGAGAACACGCGAAAAACGTCCGACCAGTCGTTACGTCGTAAAAGGATCTTTCGGCCGCCATGCGCGTGTCGCTCGTGAGCAATTGCAGGCTTGCCACTCCCCCGCACTGGCGGCAATCATGGCGCCTTTTTTCTTTTTTTGTTCCTTTTTAAAAATAGCAAGACTCGCGTGCATAACTTCGATAGGCACTGAAGATTCGCGAAAGCGGAGATTCCGGAAACTCCGTTTATGATGGCACGCTCCGGGAAGGAGGGGCTTCAGGGGTACTTTGAAAAGAGTTTATCTCCCAGGTGAAAATTTCTACCTGGGACCAGTTGGCACCTCAACTGGTTTCAACTGGGACTAACTGGTCCCAACTGGGAATCAACTGGGACCAATAGGAGTCCCACTCGGGACCAGCTGAGGGGCCAACTGGTTTGATCCATTCCCAGTTGGGAGTCAACTGGTTTGAATCCCAGTTCGGAATGGAGGGAACTGGGACCAGTTAGGAAAGCAACTGGTTGGAGCGATTCCCAGTCGGACTTCAAATGCCTTTCCCGTTCCCAGTTCACACGGGGCAACAATTTTGACAAGTTGGGGGTGTATTGACCTTGGCTAATGAAGAAAACTAAAAACACTTAAATTTTTAGATTTATACAAATAGGGAAATGTTTAATTACTGGGTACATTTTTATATTTATGAAAATAATATAAAAATTTTAAGTAACTAAATAATTTTTTTAATTGGAAAATATAATTAGTGACAAAATGTGTTCAACTAAATGAACATTTAGTGCATCAATAAAATATATTAAAACATTTATTTAAACACCTACAATATTTTTTTTTCTTTTTTCTTTTAATAAATAAATTTATCTTTTGGCCAATCAGAGCTAGCCGGCCGCCGTGGCATGCGGGTGCGGAATAGTGGTACGCGCTGTCGACAGATGGCGCTGCCAATGCTGACGCCGGAGTCGGGCGGACGCGGTAGAGAAGGGTCGCCATCGCCCAAGTTGGCGTCGTTATGAAAATGTCAAAACTACAGCTGCACTTCTTTGGACCTAACTGTACACACACTATGGTGGCGGCGGTGAACTTCGAGGACGGAAAGATGCAGTTTAGCGATCGGAGGGCACGCAGGAAAGACCGGACGGAAGAAAACGCCGCGGAGAGCACAATGGCGAAAATGGCGAGAGGTCTACCTCGAAAATGTTCGGCTGTTGTGACAGAGATTGCAAGATGGGAGCGCTACCGCATTTTACCGTATCCTATCAGGACTTCACCTGCGCAACGCGGTATCACGGGTGAGCACCTTTCTTCACGCGATGGGGAGAGAAGCTGAGGACGTCTTCACTAACAGACACCAGCGGCCGATCTTCCTTTTCATCTCACGAATACTACCTCCGAAAAAGCGATTCAACCGTCACAAGCAAGTGGCTAAAGCCGGAGCGTGTACGTCACCGAACCTATTATTTAGTTTCATTCTCCAAGTTTTTGACAATAAAGTCTTGTCAACCTTCCATTTTGTTTCATTGTAGCTGGAGTTGGTACCAGCGGTAACTGGGACCAACTCCAACTAGGACCAGTTGTAACGGGGACCAATTCCAGCTGGGATCAACTCGAACTGGGACCAGTTGGACAACTCCAACTGGGACCAGTTGCAACTGGGAATTGTTTCATAAACCAGTTGAAAATTTTCGCCTGGGCTGCTGCTTCTCTGCATGAAATTGAAATATAATTTCAACATTGGGCTTCCTGGAAGCCGAATTAAGACAATATAAGTGTGTTTTCTCAATTACAAAACCGCTTCAGCTTCCCTTTGAAGACGTCTTATCTTCAAGACCGCCATAGCTTTACACATTTCGAATCCCTCGTTAGTTCATTCGCAGTTTTGTTTGTGCATTTTTAACAACTTCTACACACCTCCTCTCTAAAGTCTTCCCGGACCCTGAGGGCATGGTTCAGGCTGGAATATGGCTCTTATCACTGATTCTGTTCAGCCCTGTTCCACCAGCTTTTCAAAACCAACTTTAGGGGTCGGTTTTGGTACCTGGTGAGAGCAATAGCATTCTCGGTTACTGATTGGACACGACGCCTCAGCGTTTTTCTCTGCGAGAGTTATCGACAAGTGCGAAGTCATGTTACTAGATAATCTCTAATCTGTTCGCGAGTTCTTTTGGTGAGAGCTTCTCACTAACACACGGATGGTGACAGGGTTCTCAAGATATTTAAAGTATTTCTCCCGAGTACTACATACATATGAGAATTTGACCTATATAGGGCAGCACAGCTGGAAATTTGCAGAGGGAGCGCTTGTTGTCGATCCCATCGAACGGGAAATATAGCAGACCATTTTAGTTTCAGCTTGCGTCCCGTATCACTTCCTCGCGGCACTCGGCTTTTAGCAGACGGCTGCCTTTATTCCCGTCTGTTAACAGAATATGTGAATGTATTTTCTTGTTCCATTTTTGTCTGCGAATGACGCTTCGTAGCAGACGAATTCTACTGTTCACTTACGTTAGCCGACTGATCATCTGCTGACGTTTTCTTGACTCGCTCCGTAAAGTCCCGGTAAGACTGCTCGTACACCAAGGAAAAAGCAGTGTGCAAATACCATCTCAGGCGCGTTTCTCTCTCGTGTCATCTCATATTGGGCCTACCAAAACTGTCTGCGGACATGTTCAAAGCACCCATATATGTGTGCTTTGAACACGTCTGCAGGTATTTTTCTTAAGACCCAATATGAGAGTACTCTCATAAAGGAACGAATTTTGGCAGTTGACACACTTGTGACTGCTTACGACCGGAGGGGCTTGTGAACCATCTTGTGACTGCTGATGACCGGCCGCTGCGCTGCAGGTCATAAGTAGTCGCCAGTGTTTTAAGCATCTGCGGTTGTAAGCATGGCAATAAGAAATTAGTATACCTGCCTTTACTTGAGCAAGCAATAAAGCAAACACGCAGATAGTGCACATTGTTTCACCGTTTTAGAAATAAGACCCACCCCTTTCAGAGATTCTACATAATAAACCAAAAGTAAGACACACTATTTAGTTTGTCCGCATTAAGGCATACTTTGAGGGATTATGCAGTTTCAATCAATAAATGTATGACAGGCTTTGAAAGGGGTGGGAGGGGCCGGGGGAG